CATGCACATTGTATTGACATGTATCTTGTCATTTGTAGTTGTGTTTGGACCCTTACAGTGCATTACAGGCCATCCATAAATTTGACTTCCCTCATCCCTCGTCCTTCATATTCAACTTATTATGCTCCATTTCTCATAAATGCAAAAATTCCAGTTTTTGTTGGGTCCCTAAACATTAATGTTTGGGGTTATGAATAAGCAGATTCAGCCACTCAATCAGCTTTTCTTGACCTCCCAATTTTGTACAAGGTATTCCTTACTCATATTATTTTTCAGTGATCTCTCAGTAACTCTACAACCAAGGCAACAATATTAGTCCAAGTTTGTCAAAAACAAATTATTTTCCATCAAGTGACGTTTAAATTTCTGGCCATCGCCTTCCAACCGCTGTTATATTTGGAAGACTGCACTCTTCCCATCTACATATCAGCCACACTCAACTCCATCATGAGTACCTCATGGAAAAACACCTGGCACTGCTCTTCGAGGACTGTCAGATTGCAATGTCAGTTTACCATATCTTATTAGATTGTCCAGTATATCAGTGGGCAAGCAGAAGTCACTTCTATTATTTCTGTGCTCCAACACACTAACTCTTGCTGCCCTCCATGCTAAAAGTTCCAGCTCTGACTTTTTAATAGAAATTTTTCTATTGCACCAACTGTGATTTTTACTTTTCCTCTTGCACTTTCCCCTACCCCTACTCACCCTTACCCTTACACACTCCTGCACTTTACTCCCAAATCATCTTTGCACAGTCCTACTTTCTCACATCTCTCCCTGCAGTGCAGTATGGCCCTCTCAGGTTTAGCACTTTATTTGATTATATTATTATTATTATTATTATACGGTGGAACTCCAGATTTTGTACTTAATCCATTCCAGATCAGTCTAAATCTGAAACATATGAAAACTGAAGTAATATTTCCCATGATTAATCTAAATCCAATTAATCCATTTCAGAGACCCAAAAGTATTAACAAAAAAATACATTTTATAGAGAATAACTATAGTTTTACATACAGAAAACAATAAGAAATAAATATAAAGGACTAATGAAATGGTTAAATGAACATTTAAATCACTTTTACCTTTATTGAAGAATCTTGTTGGCTTTTGCAAGACAGTTATAGTACAGGATTGTTTTTTGAAGCAGTTTGTGACAGAACCTACAAGGGGAAATTAACCTGCTTTACTTGGTTCTGGCAAACAAGGAAACTCTTGTTAATAATTTAGAAATTACAGAGGAACTCGGTACAAGCAACCACAAATCAATTACCTTTAGCATTGGATGGAAGTATGATAGTAGGGATAACTCAGTAACGGTCCCAGATTTTCTCTTAGCAGATTACAATGGGCTTAGAGAACACTTATCATTTGTGGACTGGGGCAATGAAGAGAGCTATCAATATGACAGTTTTCTGAACACTATACATGCTGCCCAAAGAACATTTATCCCATGTAAAGAAATTAGATCAAATAGAAATGACTCAAAATGGATGAATAATAGGCTCAAATATCTTTTAGGGCAGAAGAAAGGAATTTATAGGCACATAAAAAGAGGTGAGGGTCATCTTATGAATCAGTATATTGACATTAAGAGGGACATTAAAAAGGGGATAAGAAAAGCTAAATGGGACTACGAAATTAAAGTTGCTAGGGTTTCGAAAACTAACCCTAAAAGTTTTTTCCAGGTGTATAGAACAAAAGTTAGAGATAAGATAGGTCCCCTTAAAAATAACTCTGGGCATCTTACTGACAAGGAGAATGAAACGTGCTCTATTTTTAATAATTATTTTCTCTTGGTTTTCACTCAGGAAGACACTAATAATATCCCAATAATTAGGTTTTTTAGTGGACGTGAAGAAGATAAATTATGTAATATCTCAGTCACTAGCGAAATGGTTATCAAACAGATAAACCGTTTGAAGTCAGATAAATCGCCCAGTCCTGATAAGGTTTTTACAAGGGTTCTTAAGGAATGTAAAATGGAACTCTGTGAACATTTAACTAATATTTTTAATTTATCTCTTCAAACAGGTGTAGTGTCTGATATGTGGAAGATGGCTAATGTAATTCCTATATTTAAAGCAGGGGACAAGTCGTTACCGTCAAATTACCGCCCAATAAGCAAATTACTAGTCAGTTATAGCCGATATTATAAGATACCATCTGGATAAGCATAATTTTACTAATGATACTCAGCATGGATTCACGAGGGGCCATTCTTGCGCAACTAATTTATTAACCTTCTTCAGTAAAGCTTTCAAGGCTGTTGATCATGATAAAGAATTCGATATTGTTTTTTAGATTTTTAGTAAGGCTTTTGATAGAATACCGTACCAGAGACTGTTAAGGAAAGTGACAGCTCATGGCATTGGGGGAAAAGTGCTGTCATGGATTGAGTCATGGCTCACAAATAGGAAGCAGAGTGTGTGCTTAAATGGGGTTAAATCCAAGTGGGGATCTGTAACAAGTGGCATTCCACAGGGATCAGTCTTAGGCCCTTTGTTGTTTTTTAATATATATCAATGACCTTGATGAGGGAATTACTAGTGCCATGAGCAAATTCGCCGACGACACAAAGATAGGTAGGATAATTGATTCAAACGTAGATGTTGTGGAAATTCAGGAGGATTTAGACAAACTCAGTTCCTGGTCAGAAAAGTGGCAGATGCAGTTCAATGTAGATAAATGCAAGGTTCTGAAGCTCGGGAGTGTCCATAACCCTAGTATGTACTTATAAGTTCTGGTCTTTGTATTACAGAATAGATATAAATTCGTTAGAAAACATTCAGCATAGAATGACTAAATTAATACATAGCATTAGAAATCTTCCATACAAAGAAAGATTGAAGACTCTTAAACTGCATTCACTTGTAAGACGAAGAATGAGGGGAGACATGATCAAAGTGTATAATAAGTGGAAGATGGGTATTGACAAAGGGGATATAAATGAGGTTTTGAGGATATCCCTCGAAGAGAGAATCCGCAATAATGGATTCAAATTAGACAAGTTTAGATTTCAAAAGGATATAGTAAAGTGCTGGTTTGGTAATAGGGTACTTGCTGAGTGGAACGGTCTGCCGCGTAGGGTTATCAAAGCTAAAACCTTGGATAGTTTCAAATTTAGGTTGGATAAGTACATGAATGAGAGGGGTTGGATTTGAGTGGGGCTTGCACCTGAGTAAATAGAATTATCAAAGCTTATTGCTTAGGTAGTGTTTATTCTGTTAGTGGGTTGGATTTGTGAAGGACGTGCCTAGTATGGGCCAACAGGCCTATTGCTGTGTTCCTCCCTTATGTTCTTATGTTCTAACCCTCTCCCCTCCTCCCATCTACCATACAACAACAAGAGTCTTCAGTAAAGTGAAGTGTGATGTATTCTATTCAAGATTAATGGACTGAACACATCGACTCGGGGTTGACGGACTGATTACCTCATTCTCCTGTTCTTCAAGTTTCTCCTGTGTATGGACTGATGAAGCCACTGTGTGGCGAAACGTTTCATCAGTAAAGATACCCAAGAGTTGCATATGTGTCTAATTTAACTACATGTCTGTTCTTTGAACCATTCATCTACAAATGTTTTGTTAGTGGGATGGATTGTAAAGGGCCTGCCTAGTATGGGCCAACAGGCCTACTGCAGTGATCCTCCTTTCTTATGTTCTTATTGTTTTATAATCGATTTCTCATTCTTTTCTGTATGTAAATCTATATTTAATCTATAAAAAAATTATTTTTGTTAATACTTTCAGGTGTCTGGAACAGATTAATTAGATTTACATTATTTCTCATGGGGAAAATTAATTCGGAAATCATCAGATTCGGGTTTAGTTACTCTCTCTGGAACGGATTAATTACAAAAACCAGAGGTCCACTGTATTTTTATTCCACACCTTCTCCTAATTTCCACACTGAATTTTCTGCATAATATTTACACTACACATTGCCCTTAGACAAGACATCTCCACTGCCTCCAACCGCCTCCTCTCTGCAGCACTTACTACTCAAGCTTCATACACATATAAGAGTGTTGGTACCACTATACAAAATATAAATAAGAAATTTTGTATAAAAAATAATAGAGAATGTAAAGAAATAAAGTGGTTATTGTATGTATACTATAGTACACACTTACCTTGGAGGAGATGCTGGTAGAGGTTTAGGGTGGCACATGTTGTCAGTGGCCCTATAAACCTCCAACAACATGGGAGGAGTTAGTTTCGTGTCGTCCTTTTTCTATAACTTAATTGCTTAACTTACTTGCTACACTCTTAATGCTACACTTTATCACTGGCTGGCACTATAGCCTTTATTGACTCCTGCTGCTTTAGTATCATACATATCGTAGAATCACCCTCTACTACAATCACTACCACCTTCTACCACCATCACAACCACTACCACCCTCTACCACCATCAAAACCACTATCACCCTCTACCACCATCACTACCACCCTACCATGCTCACTGACAGAGGTAAACTGAGTCCCCAGGAGGGCGGATGTATCTGATACGTACGATTTCCAGGTGGAGGTACGAAATCTGAACGAAAGTTTCATCCAAAAAAGTTTTCTAAATCCAAATTGTACGTTGTTCAGACCGTATGAAAACCAGAGTTCCACTGTACAGTCATTTGTCTCAGGCAACAACAGCATCTCCATGCTCCTTCAATATCACAAATAACTGATACAAATCTATCAGATAAAAATATAAAATATTAGAAAAATATGTTCTTGCAACAAAGCTCTAGGAATTGTCTTCCTTCTCAGACAGTGAAGTGTTTTCTTTGATAAATTAATGATCCTGAAGATTAATAATTACACACAGATGTACAAACACCAAATAATAAACAGAGTACATTACAGTGACTTATGAACTTGACTCTTCCCCATATATTATACGTAATATTAAGAATAATCATCATCATCATCATCTACTTAACTTAAAATATAAGCTTAGTTTTTGACTTAATTAAATTGTTATTCACTTTGCAGGTGATCTTTGATGCTGGAGTAACATGTGAAATAGCTAGTGTGAGAGCTAATCTTGCACGAATGGTAGGAACGCTGGGCTGTCTTATTATCACTCAGAACACACAAGAGTCTCTAAATTCAGGGCCAACCTTTCTTCTCCTCACTGCTGCTACTGACTATTTACTTAAGGTAAGTTTTTATAAAATTAAGTAAACATTTTAAAAGTAACATATACCTTTTGTACATAAATTTTTGTAAAGTACTAGATTTTTTCCTACTATTGGTTTTATCCAAACTTGAACTTTACTAGATGACAAATCGTGTTGGTATGATCACTCAGGTAAAAGAAAAACTAATCCTGAACTAGTTTTTTCCTTTCCCTTGTTACTTTTACCTTTAAGATATGTTCCTTGGTGGTGGTAAAGGGCTCTTTATCCAAGGAATTGGTGCTATCCTCCCCATGGATCAATTCCAAGTATAGTACATATTTCCCTTCCTCATATCAAATCAGAATACCCCTCCCTCCTTTCTCTTTCTCTTCATTAGCTGTGATGTTATTTTGTTTATTGAAATCTACTCCTTGACAATGAAAAAATGCTTCATTGTCTAGCTGTGTTCTAGTGTTTCTCTTAACCCTTTGACTGTTTTGGTCATATATATACATCTTACGCGCCACTGTTTCGGATGTATTAACCCCTAAACGGTCCAAATGTATATATACGTTCACTCACATAGCGCCCCAAATTTTTTGAGAAAAATTTTTTTTTTAATAGGAAAAAAGAGCATATGGTACCCAGGCATCCCCAGTTATTTTAATATGGTACACAGTGAGTGTGCACACCCATTCTCTCATGTCTAGGTGACTCAGGCTTATTGTGGCAGTGTTGAATGAATGACAAAGAAAACGTATATATACGTTTGGGGCGCTACGCACGTGAACGTATATAGTATACTTTTGGACCGTTTAAGGGTTAATACGCGTAAATTCTAGCAGTTTCAAATCAATCAAGAGAAAGCATGTAGGCCCTCATGTGAGAGAATGGGTCTGTGTGGTCAGTGTGCACCACATAAAAAAAATCCTGCAGCACGCAGTGCATAATGAGAAAAAAAACGACTTTTTTTTTTTTTTTTAATTAAAATGCCGACTTTGAGGTGTATTTTCGTATAGTATTTACTGTTGTATTCTCTTTTTCGTGGTCTCACGTGATAAAATGGAAAACATATTACAGAAATAGAGATGATTTTGATTAGTTTCACGATGAAAATAACCTTGAAATTGAGCTCAAAGTAGCGGAAATGTTCAATTTTTACCAATGTTCACGAATAAGCAAATCACACCACACGTCCAATACACGTCAACTGGGGAGTCTGATATTCTTTCACTAGTGCACTGATATTATTTATACCATTTTTACAATAATGCATTAGTCTTCATAACAGTAAATTTTGTATTTTTTGTATAAATCAAAAATCAAAATAGAAAGCAATAGTAATATAAGAGGGGCCTAGAGACATGACTAATGAACAGAGGATATGTTATTTTAGTGCCAAGAATGTCTACATTGTTTATTCTGGACCCTATTTTGAAATTGGCATCTTTTTTAATTTGTGTGAAATTGGCCAAATTGCCAATTTCTGACCACTGTACTGCATAGCTCAAATCAGTAAATGGGCAGTTTCCTGTACTCAACTGATAGAAAAAATGGAGTTCTAAAGAAATAGTTATGAGTTTGGTCAACTGGAACAATGGAATTGGTAAAAAACAGGGCTCAAAGTCGGCGAAATCGCCGAAGCATATATGTCGCCGAGACCGCTAACTTTGCGGGAGCATAATTCCATGAGATTTTGACTAAATTTCATACTTTTGGTGTCATTACCATCGGGAAAAGGTTCTCTGTCATTTCGTAAGTTTTTTTTTTTTTTTTTTTTAAATTTACGACATTGAATGACAGTTTCAGAAAGGGGCTTGTGACAGTCAAAGGGTTAAGGGTATGGCTAGACCAGCGGTGGAATATTGAGTGGCTACCTAACAAACCCTGTGGCAGTAAATGTGGATGGCTCCTGGAGTTTGCTCCATTTCATCCAATGCCATTATTAACTGAACTAATTGTTCCTTTGGTGCTCTGTAATCTAAACTGGCAGTTTTGCTAAGCCTTGCTTCATTGTTTGAAGGTAAAAGAATGCATGTCATGTGGTTAGGCCACGACCAATCTCCATTAACACAAACAAATACAGTAAAATCTTGGTTTTCATCATTAATTCATTCCAGAGAGTCTGACGAAAACTGAATTTGACAAAAACTGAAGCAATATTTCCCATAAGAAATAATGTAAATCCAATTAATCCTTTCCAGACACCCAAAATCATTAAAAAAAAAATACATATTATAGAGAATAACTATAGTTTTACATACAGAAAACAATGAGAAATAAATATAAATGACTAATGAAATGGATAAATGAACATTTAATATCACTTTTACCTTTATTGAAGACTCTTGTTGGCATATGGAAGACACAAGGAGGGGAGAGGGAGGAGGAGAGGTTATTGGTTGGAAGGGGAATCCCCCTCCATTAGGACTTCAGGTATCAAGTCCCTATCCAGAGTTACTTCCCTTCTTTGTCTTTTACTGGCACTGGACCCCTGTCACATAAAAAATCTGTCCAGAGAGGTCTGTTTTTGGTGTCTCTTTAACCCTTTGACTGTCGCAACCCCCAATCCTGAGGTGTCTCCTGGTGTCGCAAAATTTCAAAAAAAAAATCAATTTTTTTTCTTAGGAAATGATAGAGAATCTTTTCCCGATTGTAATGACACCAAAAAAAATGAAATTTGATGGAAAACTGACGGAATTATGCTCTCGCGAAGTTAGCGACCTCGGCAATATTTACAAATCGGCGATTTCGCCCACTTTGAGCCCTATTTTCGGCTAATTCCGTTGTTCCAGTCGACCAAACTCATAGCTCTTTCTTTAGAACTCCATTTTTTCTATCGATTGAGTACAAGAAACTGCCCATTTACCAATTTCAACTACCCAATAATGTGGTCAGAAATTTGCAATTTCACCAATTTCACGAAAATTAAAAAATATGGCAATTTCAAAATAAGGTCCAGAATGAACAATGCAGACATTCCTGGCTCTAAAATAACATTTTCATTGTTCTTCAGTCATGTCTCCAGGCCCCTCTGATATTACTCTTGCTTTCTGTTTTGAATTTTTATTCAAACAAAAAATAGAAGACTTACTACAGTGGACCCCCGCATAACGATTACCTCCGAATGTGACAAATTATGTAAGTGCGTTTGTACGTGTATGTTTGGGGGTCTGAAATGGACTAATCTACTTCACAAAATTTCTTATGGGAACAAATTCGGTCAGTACTGGCACCTGAACATACTTCTGGAGTGAAAAAATATCGTTAACCGGGGGTCCACTGTATTATGCAGACTACTGTAATACTGTAATAATTGTATAAAAAACATCAATCCATTCATGACTGCATATTAGAATGATTAGTTGGACATTTATTGGACAATGACATCATTTGTTTACTTTTGAACATTGGCAAAAATCAAACATTTCCCCTACTTTGAGCTCCATTTCCAGGTTCATCTCTATTTCTATAATATGTTTTCCATTCTATCAAATGAGACCAAGAAAACGAGAATACAACCATAAATACTATATGAAAATAGACCACAAAGTCGGCATTTTAATTAAAAAAAAACGGTCTGAGATTTTTTTTTTTCTCATTATGCACTGCGTGCTCCATGATTTTTTTATATGGTGCACACTGACCACACAGACCCATTCTCTCACATGTGGGCCTACCAGCTTTCTCCTGCTTGATTTGAAGCCGCTAGAATTTATGAGTATACAGTGGACCCCCGCATACCGATTTTAATCCGTGCAAGAGGGGTCATTGTTATGCGAAATAATCGGTATGCGAATGAATTTTCCCCATAAGAAATAATGGAAATCAAATTAATCCGTGCAAGACACCTAAAAGTATGAAAAAAAAAAAATTTTACCACATGAAATGTTAATTTTAATACACGCAAACTGAAAAAGGCATGCACACTTACATGACACTTACTTTTATTGAAGATCTGGTGATGATTGATGGGATGGGAGGAGGGGAGAGAGAGTGTTAGTGTTTAGAAGGGGAATCCCCTTCTGTTAAGACTTGAGGTGTCGAGTCCTTTTCTGGGGTTACTTCCCTTCTTCTTTTAATGCCACTAGGACCAGCTTCAGAGTCACTGGACTTCTTTCGCACAACATATCTGTCCATAGTGGCCTGTACCTCTCGTTCCTTTATGACTTCCCTAAAGTGTTTCACAACATTGTCAGTGTACAGGTTGCCAACACGGCTTGCAATAGCTGTGTGAGGGTGATTTTCATCAAAAAAGGTTTGCACTTCAAGCCACTTTGCACACATTTCCTTAATCTTTGTAGTAGGCAACTTCTTCAATTTCTCTCTCCCCTCCTCTGAACCAGTTTCCTCAGGTCTGGCCTCTTGCTGTTGAAGTTGATCTATTATCTCATCAGTGGTTAGTTCTTCATTGTCCTCCTCCACCAACTCTTCCACATCCTCCCCACTAACCTCCAACCCCAAGGACTTTCCCAATGCCACAGTGGATTCCTCAACTGGCATAATCCTCTCGGGGTTAGCCTCAAACCCTTCAAAATCCCTTTTGTCTACACATTCTGGCCACAGTTTCTTCCAAGCAGAGTTCAAGGTCTTCTTAGTCACCCCCTCCCAAGCCTTACCTATAAGGTTTACACAATTGAGGATATTAAAGTGCTCTCTCCAAAACTCTCTTAGAGTCAGTTGAGTTTCTGAGGTCACTACAAAGCACCTTTCAAACAGAGCTTTTGTGTACAGTTTTTTGAAGTTTGCAATAACCTGCTGGTCCATGGGCTGCAGGAGAGGAGTGGTATTAGGAGGCAAAAACTTGATGTTAATGAATTTCATGTCCCCATAAAGTCACTCTGCCACGTCTGTAGGATGACCAGGGGCATTGTCTAACACCAGGAGGCACTTAAGTTCTAATTTCTTTTCAGTTAGGTAATCTTTCACATTGGGGGCAAATGCATGGTGTAACCAGTCATAGAAAAAGTCCCTAGTGACCCATGCCTTACTGTTTGCCCTCCACAGCACACACAAATTCTCCTTGAGGACATTCTTTTG